TGCTCTCGTTTTGTCAATGGATTTACGTATATCTGTGTGTGAGCACTGGGAAGCACAGGCCAGGCTGCACATGCTCTGAGTCACATGACAGGAAGGAGGAGGGGTGGGGGCTTAGAATGGAGGGTTGGTCAATAGCATTCCAAATTTTTCCCCAAAGGCTTCTCTTACAGTAGACATGTCAAACATAAGGCCCAGGGGCCAGATGCGGCCTGCGACGTGGTTTCATGTGGCCCGCTAAGCCATCCTGGAAAGAGCTAGGGAATGGCCCCCGCTGCCTTGGCCCTGGCCCAGGCCGGCCGGGAGCCAATGTACAATTTTGTGGTGGCCATCTATGCTGAAACACATTCAGTCTTAGCTCCACAAGGCCGTCTGGAAACAACGAGGAACCAGCCCCTGCCGCATCAGCCCCGTCCCCTGGGTGCATGCTGGGGAGGTGTCACCCTTTGTGAGGAATGAAGAAATGCTCCATCACCTGGAAGTGGCCAGCAAATGGCCCTTGCCTACTTCACATATCCAGCTTGATGGGCTCCGGGGGAGGGGTTTCGGCAGGCTCTTCCAGTGGACCATGCCTTGGCGCTTGCCCTGATCCCACCCCCTTCTGCCAGACTCTCAGATCTGTCCCACTCCTGCCCAGGCCCCCACAGGCACCCTTCTCACGAACGATGTAGAGCTGGCCATGCCCACCCAGTAGGCCATACCCACTCCAGCCATGCTCACCCAGTAGGCTGCGCCACCCTGGCCACACCTACTTGCCCCCCCCCCCCGAGGACAACCACAATGCTGATGCGGCCCTCAATGAAATTGAGTTTGATACCCCTGTCTTAAAAGGGAATGAATTGGGGGGATTTTTCTGGAATATTTTTCTGCATAGCCTTAAGTCAGATATGGCCAGTTTTTGAACTTGCTTTTTCTTTTGCCAGCGTCTCCCACCATTGCATGTAGTCCTTGAATTATAACAAAAAATTACAACTGACCTCCCCAAGGCTACTTATGACACAGATTGGAAGGTCTGATGGTTGCCCTCTCCATGTGGTCACAGGATCGCATTTGCGCACTTGGTAGCCAGCTCACATTTATTCACCTGACCATGATTTACTAAGTTTTTTTTGCTGGAAACCAGTGTTTACTTCTGATTTCTAGTAAAAAAACATCCACTGCAAACCCCATAGCATTCGCTTAACAACAGCAATGGTTCGCTTAATGACCACTGCCAGAAAGATCGTAAAATGGGGTGTGGTCACATGGTAACCTGCTTAACAACTGGCATGACTTACGGCTGTAATTCTGGGCTCAGTTATGGTTGTAAGTTGAAGATATCTGTATTATCTGTTCAGATTTTGGAGAGTTATTCTGTTGATAGACACACGGATAGAAGGACAGAATTCTTGAGCCCTTTTATGTAATTTCTTTCCAGCCTTCAGTTGGGTTGGGAAAGATATGTCATACTTTTTTGGCTCCCTATATTCTCCATAGAAAAGCTGTTCTTTAAAAATTGGGTAAACTCTTGAGCTGTGTGCCATGTTGCAAGGGAGGGGAAGAAGTTGGAAGACCTTGCCAATTTCAGTCAGTCGGTATAGAGCTGGAAGGGACCTTGGAGGTCTTCTAGTCCATCCCCCTGCTCAAGCAGGAGACCGTACACTATTTCAGACAAGTGACTGTCCAGTCTCTTCTTAAAAACCTCCAGAGATGAAGCCCCCACAACTTCTGGAAGCAAGCTGTTCCACTGGTTAATTGACCTCAGTGTTAGGAAGTTTCTCCTTAATTCCAGGTTGCTTCTCTCTTTGATTAGTTTTCATTCATTCTTTCTTGTCTTGTCATTTATGTACTTCAATGGAAAAAGTTTCATGCCATTCACTGCTTTAAGACAACCATTTGTGAAACAGGAAGTAGTGTAAAATTTATTTTTAAAAAAAGAACTTTTGTGGAATTTAGCCAGAATTAGTGTTATTGCTGTTGCTTTTCTAGTTTGGAACTTTTGTCAGCATATAATAATAATAATTTATTAAATGTATATGCCCCCAAGTCCTAGCACCTCCAAGCAGTTTTAAACTAATTTTAAAGTAATTAAACTGTAAAGTAATTAAAATTATTGGGAGTAATTTTAAATATTTTTAAAAAAACCCGACTGGGCAGTTTTAAAGTGATCCTAAAGTAATTAAAATTATGGAAGTAATTTTTAAAATTGAATTCTAGCCCAAGTTAATATTTATACAACTATTTGTTGCATGTCTCATGCTGAAATTAAGTTCTGCATAACTGGATATAATTGCCTACTATTTTATCCTAGATTAAGAGCACAGAAAATGTAGCTGACTGTGACATTGCCCTGATTTATATAACAAACGAACAGCTTGGGGAACTTATCAGTGAAATATCCTACCGTTTAATTAGGAAACAGAGGAATATGGTGTTTTAAGAACAAAGCCCTGCCCCCTTGTTTGGGATTACACTCTGATTGCCAGAGAGAGGCATGTACATGCAAATAAAAGAGAAATCATAGGACGTGGGGGGGGGGTTCATTGGTTTGGAAAATACTACAGAGAAAATAGAGATTTTTTTAAATTCACATTGGATGATTTGGAATCCAGAGCAAGATTTTGTAACATAATATAACCTTGTAGCTGATTGTTTGTGGGTGTTTTATTTTTATATTGATGATTATCTAGAACGTCATTGCAATAGGTAGTTCAACTCTTAAGAGAAGTAGTTGGAGGAATGCATGTGCAGATGTTTTAATGCAGTATTTCTCAACCTTGCCAACTTTAAGATGTGTAGATTTCAACTCCCAGGATTTCCCAACCAGCCATGGAGAGCCATTTTTCTTTCTCAGCCTTTTCATCCAGCCATTATGGGTGAAACTTATACAGTGTCTGGATATATATGCAAAATATGTGCATTTTGTAGCTTTCATTTAACATATATATATTTTTTTAAAAAGTGTGGGTAGTTATGGCAATGTTCTCTTCTGTTTCACTTTTAAAAAAAAATGATAGTAATGTGTCATTTTTCTGAGGTCATCCACTACATTATAGAAAAGTCTATTATTCATAATAACTGTTAGAAGAAACTCTGAGAAAAGGTTCCTGATTCTGAATTTCAGTCAAAATCATGCAGACAAATAAATAATAAGTAAATATATTTTTAAAATGGCTCATTTATATAGTATTGCAAACTTGCTTTCCCAAACATTTCAGCAGAAGTTGTGTTTATATCAGCATGATTTCCTAAGCCAGACAAAAATATTTGTCTTTGTTTGACATTTATAAAATATTCTTTTGGATATAGCAAGTTTTGAAATTTGTCCTTTTTGATTGCCAAATTATTTTATTCCTGTTGCATAGCAACTCTTTTTATAAAATCAACTTTGGAATAAAGGAGGATTTTTCAAATCTTAGTTTCTAATGGAGAAAATCAGAAGCCTCACTCCTCTTGAATAGGGATTCCAGATTTTTTTTAAAAATGAACAGGTTCTGCATTCTGCAATAATTTAAATCCCCTTGGTTTAAGTGTTACAGCAAAGAATAAAATCTATGCATTTAAGACTTTAATCCTTTTCTCTATTTTGCTTTCTGCTCTCTTGAATTACATTGCAGTGTTCTCAAGTGATTATCTGAACCAAACACTTTACAAAACTTTATGTTATCCTCTTTTTGCCTGTTACTTTAGCTGGCAGAGAATTTAATCAGCATGACGTAAAACAAATTGGAAAGGAAAAATTAACTGTTAATGGTACTTCACCTTAACATCTAGAGACAAAAAAAAAAAAAAATGCTTCTCTATCTAGTTAGTAGCTGATAATTTCAAGGCCATATGCGTTATACCAGTGGTTCTCAACCTGTGGGTCGGGACCCCATTTGGGGTCGAATGACCATTTCACAGGGGTCGCCAAACCATGCAGTCCGCCATTTTTTTCCCTTTTCCCTAGCTATCCTACTCCCTCTTATTGGTGTCCACACCCACTTGGGGGTCACCACAACATGGGGAACTGTATTATGGGGTCACGGCATTAAAAAGGTTGAGAACCACTGCGTTATACTGAAGAGATCATGTAATGAGAGAAATTATTCTGTAAGCAAAAATACAAATTTATATAAAGATATCAAGACACATACTTTTCTGACAGTTAGAACAATTAATCAGTGGAACAACCTGCCTCCAGAAGCTGTGAATGCTCCAACACTGGAAGTTGACAGTGCTAGACAGCCATTTGTCTGAAATGGTATAAGTTTCCTGCCTGAGCAGGGGATTGGACTACATGACCTCCAAGATCCCTTCCAACTTTATTGTTGTTGTTGTTGTTGTTACTATATAGTTTATTAAAAATGTCCACTTTATTTTTATAACAGAAAAATATCTTTAAGGTTAGTTTTGTGTAATGATAGAAGTTACATTTATATTACTCTTTATTTCCTATTTATTGTCCATACTCACAGTTGGAAAAGAGCCTGCTGGAAATTTGGAGAGATTAGGTTTTCATCTGCATAATTTGAGTTTATGTTGCCACGTATATTATACCTTTTACTTGTAGTTTGAGGAGTGTAGAATGCTGTGAAAGAGACAAATTCAAAGTCAGCTTAGAAAAGAAACTGAAAATAAAATATTCAAGACTATAATGCTAATTTTAAAACAATGATATACTGGAAAATTATGTATACCTCTGGTTCATGGATATCAGAAAACATTCTACAGAAAATAAACTTAAAGAATCAGGGAGTGGAAGCAGTTTTTCCATGAGGAAATGCCATATTCTTCAAGGAGTTATATTTTTTATATTTTTGTTACATGTTTTTATTCATTGAATGAAGATAATAAGATGCTTTTCTCCATATTTCATATTATCTGTACAAAGCATCATCCAATAAAGCTAATTGGCAGGAGAATCAAGACACTAAAAGAATTCATACAACACACTATACTGAATCTTAATGAATGGGCTAAGGGGGACTTTTACCTTTGTCTGTTTCTTAATACAAATTGACATGTATATTTGTTTTCCACAGTTTGCAATTTTATGTCTCATGAGAAGTGCCTGAAGTATGTGAAGATACCTTGCTCGTCTATTGCTCCAAGTCTTGTAAGGGTAAGTTGCTCGTGCTTTGGGGAAAAGCTAAATATCCAGTGGAGTGTAACTGGATGCCTAACACATGGGAGATTCAGGTTCTAGTCCAGGGGTCTTCAAACTTGACCCTTTTATGACTCATGGACTTCAACTCCCAGAATTCCTCAGCCAGCGTGCCTAGCTGAGGAATTCTAGGAGTTGAAGTCCATGAGTCATAAAAGGGCCGAGTTTGAAGACCCCCGTTCTAGTCTATCATCAGCCACAGAATCTGACTGGGTGACTTAGATCAGTTACTTTCTCCAGCGCAACCTATTTCATAGGATTGCTGCTGTGGAAAAGTAGGTATAAGTGCTATGTACTTCTTGAGCTCCTGTGAAAAAGGCAGGTTATTGATTTAACAAGTGAATACAAATTAAAAGGAATCCAATAGGACTGTGCATAGATGCCGTGATTCAGAGCTTGTGAAAACAGTAATATGTCTGGAGCTCTTTAAAACTGCTTTATCTTTTCCTGGGCTAACACAGATCTGCCCTCACAGTTGATAAACATATCTGAGAAAAGGCACATTCTCCAGTACAGGAGATGGATAATCCATGGATGGGTTTTCTCTGTCTGCCTGCTCTTGAGACCAAGTAGCCAAAGCTTGACACGCCCCCACTTCCTGTGGAGTCCATTCTTAACTTGGTCTCTGCTCGGAGAAGACTCGTTTTGGCGTGGCTCTCAGCTTATCAGGTTAGACAAGAAATCCATTGATTGATTATCCCTTGATAATTGGCTTCCCCTTCCCAAAAAAATTTCCACCTATAGGAATTTAACCACAAAATTTTCTGGGGATCAGTCCTGATCTCAAACCTAAAATTAAAAAGGGGATTGGTGGGGAGGGAAATTTCCCCACAGATATCAGCCAGCCCCAGGGCTCTGGGGGGTGAAAAGGGGGGGAAGAAGGCATCAGCAGAGACTACTTGCTGAACCTTTTCCCCAACCACTAAGTTTTCCTTGGGATCATCCCTGATCCTATATTAAAATTGAAAAAGGGGGTGTGGGGGGGGAAAACTCCCCACGGATCCCAGTCAGCCCCAGGGCTCTGGAGGTGAAAAAGGGGGGGGGAAAAAGGCATCAGCAGAGACCACTTGCTGAGCTTTTCTCCCCAACCTTCCAAGGGATTTTTTCCTCAAATTGGGGGAAAAAATAACAATCTCCAGGTCCGGATTCAAACTTGAATTCGGATCATCGGAGATTCCCTAGCAGCCCAGGGCAACCGCGGGCGCCATTTTAGTTGCCGTTTTCAGACAACAAAGGCAATCCCTGGCTGGGATTCCCTTAAAACGTCACAGCGCGCCAAATTTAAATCCCCGGGCACAAGCAGCTTCTGGGAGGCTGCGGAGCTTATCTTCAGAGGGAAACGAAGCACAGGAAGGGAGTAAGCCCAACCAAGAAACGGAGGCTAGAGAACCCTCCTGGGATCTGCAAAGCCCTTTTTCAGGGAGAAACGAGCTGTGGCTGCCATCTCTCGCCAGAGAAAGGCAAACCGAGCTTAAGGAAGCTCTACATCATATCTGGAATCACTGATAGAGGCGGAATAGGAGCACACAACCAGCGCTCCACCCCCGATACACACATATAATAATAGGACAAAATATAATAATAATAAAAATAGATACATAAATTTTAAAAATAATAATAATAATAATTAAAAAAAATTTTTTTTTTTAAAGCTAAAAATTAAGCGACTGCAGGGCCAACAGGCCTAAAGACAGAACACACAATATTATCATCATCACCATTATTGTTGTTGTTGTTATTATTATTATTATTTTACTATTATTGTTGTTCCTATTATTAGTATAATAGTAATAGTATTAATAAGAATAAATTCCGCTCTAGGTGACCGCCATTTGATACCTGCTGTGTATTAAGTCAGGCCTACAGACCCTTTTGAGGTCGCCACTGATATTTTTTGCCTCCCTTTTCCTTTTTCTACTGGTGCACGTTGCCTGGTCACCTAAGGCCTCCGGGCGGAACCCAAAGAGTGGTTCCAAACGTGCCTTCGGTACCTCCCTCAGCTACCGTGACCTTAGCCCAGAGAGAATATTTTTGTTGTGGTCGGGTGATCAGGGGAACAGTCCTGGTACTTGTTCCAATTTCGCTCCCGCCAATACTTGCCTGCCTGAGCGTCTTCTCAGTTTTTCTGGGACTGCTCAAGCGGAATGGAGGGACCCTCGTTGCCTCAATCCATGAGCACGACCCCTCCACCTCCCAATTACGGCTGCAACACACCTTCTGACCAGAAGGCGGCAGGCAAGTGCAAAGCGAAGACAAAACACTCGCTCAAGAGGCCCTCCAAGTTGGCGGAAAAGCAAGCCAGCCGTAGGCACCAGGCCCTGGAGAAGGAGTTCTCCAGAGCGCAGAGGCAGGCCCAATTGGAATTGGTTCAAATAGCGGCCACCGAGATGGAATTACCATTGGGTCCATCCACATCAACCCAGAGCGCGTGGTCCATTCCAGGAACACCGCAACCACTGGATCCGCCATCTACATCAGCCCAACAAACAACCACGGCGGCAGGCACAACCACTGAGTCCAACTCTCCACCTGCGGTCACCACACCCAAAGGTAATGACATAGGGGACATCTGGGCAGATGGACGGCTAGAGGCCCTATTAACCAAAGTGGTGGACCGAGCCCTAGCACAGCGCTCCGCCCACCACGACCAGGGGCCCTCCATCTCAGCCATGCCACACTCGGAACTCCCCTCAGAGTCCTCAGGCATTCAGGAACCCGTCTCCCCGGCCCAGTCCTCCATGAGTGGTTATTCTTCACCACAAGAGGAGGATCAACCTGGGATCTCTATGTCAGAGGATGAGGAACTTCCCCCTGAGCCCCCCTCAGGGGGATTATTTAATCCCAACCGCTTCCTCACGATACTACGCAAGGCCACAGCCATTGCGGACATGGGGACGGATCAGTTTTCTCAGCCGCAAGCGACACCGGCCACCACATCCAGACCCGTATTCGTAGAAAAGGTGACAACGCAACACCATATACCTTGCCCCGCCATTTTCCTGAAAGGGATCAAGAAGCCATGGGACTCTCCCGCTTCCTTCCCATCAGTGAGTGGTACGGACAAAAAATTATACAGCACTGCCACAGACCTCAATGAGGCCTTAGAAATTCCTAAAGTAGATGAAGCCTGGACCCCCTTGGTCTCCCAGACAGCCATGGCTGGGGACCTAGTGGAGGCCCTTAAGGCAGATGACAAAAAGTGGGAACAAGCCTTTCGCAAAACCCACCAGACAGCGGCATGGGCCATCAAAGCAGCCACCTCGGCCTCCTTTTTTGTCCGGGCCACCCTCATCTGGTTGCAACAACTACAAACCATAGTTCCTATGGAGGACATACGAACACACCAGGACCTGGCTAAGATGGTAGCAGCCACGGAATACGCTGCAGACGCAACGTTCCAATCGGCCATTTTTTCATCCAGATCCATAGCATCCAACATAATTGCCAGGAGAATGCTATGGCTAAAACACTGGCAAGCTGACACCAAGGCTAAGTGGCGGCTAGCGACCACTCCTTACTCAAGCAACGGTCTGTTTGGGGAGGCCTTGGACCCCTATCTTGCAGAGAACAAAGACAAGCGGAAGGTCATGGCACACTTGAACAAAAGGTCAGACAAACGTACCACACCTTACTTTCGTAGGCAGTCCTTTCGTCAACCGACAACCACGCCTATCAGTCAGGCACCCAAGCCATTCACTCCCAGGCAGAACAAACCGTACGGCCGCCCCTATGACAGACCGGGGTTCCAGCCCAGACAACAAAACCAGTCGAGACGACCCTTTCGTGGAACGGGTTGTCCGTACCGGAAGACAAAATGACTCCTACATAGACCTACCCATTGGAGGAAGACTAGCTCACTTCTTCCACCAGTGGGAGCAGACCTCCACGGACAACTGGGTACTACAAACCATCCAGTCCGGGCTGTCCCTGGAGTTCCTGGTCACACCCCCAGACCGACTCATCAACTGCTCGGTCTCCAGGAACCCCACCAAACGCAAACTCATGCAGGAGGCCATCCAACACCTGTTGGACATTCAAGCAATAGAACCGGTCCCAGCGGAATACAGAGGCAGAGGATTTTACTCCATCCTCTTTGTGGTTCCAAAGACTTCAGGAGGATGGAGGGCAATCCTGGACCTAAAAAACCTCAACCGCTACATCACATACAAAAAATTCAAGATGCAATCCCTTCAGTCCATCCTGGGAAGCATCAGAGAAGGAGACTTCCTGGCATCGATAGACCTCACGGAAGCCTACCTTCACATCCCCATCCACCCAAACCACCGCCGGTTCCTACGTTTCTGTTACGGGGGAAAACACTTCCAATACAGAGCTCTCCCCTTCGGTCTATCTTCGGCACCCAGGGTATTTACCAAGATACTAGCAGCGGTAGCCGCCAAACTGAGAAAAATCCCAATACGCGTCCAATGTTACCTAGACGACATACTAATCCAAGCAACATCCCTACAGACAGCTCAGGCGGACGTAAGGACCGTCATTCGCGTCCTCCAATTACACGGATTCTCAGTAAACTTTCAGAAGAGCCAGACAGTTCCCTCGTCCAGGCTGCTGCATCTGGGGGCCATGATAGACACAACCAACTGTATGGTCTATCTCTCCCAAGACCGGGTGGCCGGCATCAGGGAACTGGCTCGCTGGGTTCACAGGCAACGTTCAGTTCCGATACTAACACTTTCCCAATTATTGGGCAAGATGGTGTTGGCCATAGCCATTGTACCCTGGGCCAGGCTCCACCTACGGGAACTACAGTGGTTTCTGCTCCCGTACCAACGGCAGAACACCAGCGCATCCAACCACCTAGTCAGGGTCACGACACAAATCCGCAGGGCGCTACGCTGGTGGTGCTCTCGGGCCGTGACCAAGGGGTCACCCTTCAAGGAACCAGTCAGAGTTACCATCACTACAGACGCCAGTCTGTATGGTTGGGGAGCCCATCT